TACCTTAGGGGTCTATTCTGTAACAATTCCTTTATATTTAACGGCCTTTAAAAATATTGGCGGCCTTTAAAAACATTTTCGTATTCGTTAATTTACTTCTGTCATTATTTAAACAGATTTCTTTAAGATATTCCTCTAATGTATTTTAAAGATCCGTTTAAATAATGACAGAAGTAAAGAAGAAAATATTTTTAAAGGCCGTTAAATATAAAGGAATTGTTATAGAATAGACCCCTTTGACTAAAAAAGGTTTCCTCACAAAATATGAAAAATGTTAAAAGTTATAAGTCCTAGATATGCAACCATGTTTTCAGAGTGGTGTATTTCTGGTCACATCTGTACTAGTAATCATCTATTATAATAATACAGTAAAACAATAATCCTTTCAATAAAATCAAATGTTTAACAGATACGTAATATATTGTATAAGCTGTGATCTTGCACTACATGAATGAAATCTTTTCAATTCAATGAGGCCATATATCATTTTGTAAATTTAGTTGTACAAGAAAAAAAAATAGTACAACTACTGTCATCATGACACAGAACCAAAATTTAGACTTTTGTCCCATGATGATATTTTTAAGATTTAAAGCAATCTGTTGCAGTCATTTTACAATTGATCGTCAGCAAGACGGGTAAGTGGGGTTGCATTAATATTACTGAAGGCACAGGCTGAAGGTAAACTAGTAAATACTACAATATTATAGTGGAAATATGAAAACTACAAAGAAGGAGTAGAGAATTACCAAATTTTAAATTAATATTTTATAAGTGATCTTTATTCTTTTTGTAGGGTCCTAAATAGTTCGACCAGTGGCAACATGCACTTTCTTGGGCTGATGTTTGTAAGTGATAATGTTTGTAAGCTACACTTTTTGGAAAATAATATTTTGAAACATGAGACTATATTAATAATTGATGGTACTGTAAAATTAAAAGGAAAACACCAAAATTAAACCATAAGGCAACCATGTATATATTAGCTAAACTTTCTTCTTATTTGTCTAGAACTAAAATAATCTGATGTGTCCAACACATGACTTTCCTATCTAGTTATTACAGGCTTTTTCCGGTTATTTTGTACAACCTATTGCAGCACCTCCATAAATGTTTAGAGGATAAAATAAATATATACATTTTCCACATACATCTACCTCGAAACATTTTTCTATAGATATTCTTTGAAAATGAAACGACTGAAAAATTTAAATTTAGCACTTTTCCTACAATTTTTCCATTACGGTCCATTTTAGAAAATTCATGTATAAACAAAAATTATAGAGATCGATATCGCAAACAACTTTTGAAATAAAATTTTCATAAAAATCAGAATTTTGCACATTTTGTCAAATTTCTCGAATACGAACCATTTCAGGAAATTTTGACATAAAGCAAAAATTATAGATAATAATATTAGAAATAACTTTTATTTGAACAATTTTTTTCTCCAAACATAAATAACAGATATATTCCATAAAATATAAAAACGGTCCCTATAAAGTACCCCCCCAGATATTCCGACTTTGTCCAAAATCTAATCATTTCACGTCAGGCCGAAATAAAACTTAAGTTTAAAATTTAATGTTTTTTCTTTATCCGTTTTTGCGTTTTCTTCAAATTTCAAAATTTACACATTTTCTCAAATATCTCGAATACGGTCCATTTTAGAGAAATTATGTATAGGATAAAAATTATAGAGAATTATATTACAAACAACTTTTGTTTGAACAATTTTTATAAAAAAATATTTTTTTACATTTTGTCAAATTTCTCGAATACGGACCATTTTAGGAAAATTTTGTATAAAATAAAAATTTTAGACAATATTATAAGAAGTAACTTTTATTTGACGAATTTTCTTCCCCAAACGTAAATAACAGATATATTCCATAAAATATAAAAATGACCACCTATAAAGTACCCCCCCCCCCAGATGTTCCGATACTGCCCAAAATCTAATCAGCACATTGGACGCTGGAACAAAGCTTAAGTTTGAAATTTGGTGTTTTTCTGTGTATCGGTTCATGAGTTATGCGACACACAGACACACACACACACACACACACACACACACACACACACACACACACACACACACACACACACACACACACACAAACACACACACACACACACACACACACACACATATCATCGCGAAAATAGTCAAAACGGATTCAGGGGACCTCAAAACGTAAAAATTCGTCGAAAACTCGAGGTCGAAAAAAATCATGATTCCTATACTTTCCTTATATCTGTATACAGATAGGAAAGTAAAAAGAAAAAACTACCGCTTGAATGAATTGATTTTGTTAAAAAAAAAAAAACAATGCTGGTATCTATTGCAGGTAATACTACTTGAAAAATTGATTCCCTAGTAGTTGGGCTACATGAAAGTATATAGTACATATTTTGATGTAACCGATCAAACTTATGTAGGTACCAGTTTATTACAAGAAATAAAAAAGATTTTCAGTTAAACTGTTTAGTTTGCCTTCAGCCCTATTTAGTTATAACCTAAAACAATTAACGTTATGGTATATTTACCAAATTTCGCATTTTCGACCTTTCTATCAATAATTTGTATTTTTTTTTAGATAAAGTGAAATAAATAATTTATTATTCATAACGAGTAAGAATTATTTAAAATTAAACACTCAGTATTATCTGCACTTTATTTAGCAATAAACAAATTAATTTTTTTATTATTTTTACTTACACCCCTCTCTAGTCTTCAAAAGGCAAAATATTAATGCTTAACCATACAATCATGTTTAGACAGTTAGATAAAGAAAGGGTACAAGATACAAGAAGTACGATGTATAAAATTCTTTTGATATTTTAATAACTAAAGCAAATATTTTCTGTAAATTATTTACTTGTAGTAAAAATAACTGTTCAGAGTATAAAGACAGGTACATTTAGTTTGTCTTTATAACTGATTAAACATTAGAGATTACGAAAATGTTCAAGCTATAAAACGATATGTGGCAACGACCAGAATGCTAAAGCATTTGGTAGTTTTCCAGAAATTGTATTACTAAGTAATTCGCTGCTCCAAGAAATACTCATATTTTAAACATGTATTCTGTAACGAGTTTTCAACAATTCTCCTATCCCACGTGATATTGCAAAACAAGTTAATGAAATTGGCCGTTCTTAGTAAACTTTCTGATCACTTAAGTATTAACTGTGGTAAATAGGCCAATGACATTGTCTTAAGGTTGCTACTAAAGTTATTATTGTTACTTTTAGCCAACTGTTGACATCAATTTAGGGACAAGGGATCCGGCTATTTTAGAAGTATCTGTAACTCTTTCTTGAAAATGTGGATATTTGCTTCAGTTTCCTACAATATAGGTACCTAATTTATTTTAAACAATTTTAAATATTTAATAATAAACTATCTTTTAAAAAGTACAATTACGTTTTTATGCAAAAATTTCCCACCAATTCATTCCTATACGCTGCGCGTTGGCTCAGTTTGGCCGTATTTTAAATTAACCTCCTTGGTTATATGCTTAAGTTATATGGCAATCCACAAGGAAAAATGCATTGCATGTAGACAGATATATAACAGCATAAGCGCCCTCTCTGAAATTGAAAGGAGACAAATAAATGTTGACGGCTGACCCACAGGCATAACCTAAGGCGAGTTCGGGCTGCTCACTCCAGACTGGAGTGAAGCAAGTAATCGTAAACGGAGTGCGCATATGATTTTACTCCTTTACTTTAAGAGTTTAATGTCAGTTGTCAATGTGGCATACTAATACTTAAAACCAAATCAGTAACAACCATATAAGTTTCTTCTATATTAATTGTATATACGGGAACCAAATAAAAAGCATTTTTACTTAAGAATCAGTCACAATTATCTTATTATCGATTTAAATCACCTTATACACGCGCCCGATCCTCATTCCCCTCCATGATCTACGAACGGTCAAAAAGGAACTTTTATTTTAACTCCCTCCCTTCCCGAACGCCTTAGGTACTTTAGGAGTGAATAGAGTGAAAAGAGTGCATGTCCGAACTCACCTTTAATGTACGTGTTGGAAAGCGCCTACACAGCATCCGCATCATAGTTCCGTAAAATAAAAACCCAAACAAACGGCCACAATAATTTTTGTTTCGTTTTGTGTTTCGGTGTATGAATTTTCAAAATGTTTTTTTTTTTGACTATCCAATGGATATCTCAAGGAATATATGTTTTATTTGCTACATTTAAAAGTAAAAAAAAAAACAGTTTGTGCGTAACACTAACAAAAATTTATCCACGGACCAGGGGCGGATTTGCCTGTGGCAGTATTCACTACAAATTGACCCACGTCTACAATAATTCACGAGCCGTGCCTGAAAAGTATATTATTAAAAATAATTTTTTTTATAAAAGTGTTGATTTATAATAAAAAGGATACATTTTGTGTAGAATTGTACTGTTGTTTAATGCATTTCCACAATTAATTAGAATAATTTTATAAATGATTTTGTTTTGTGTTTTGTTGAAGAAAATAATGATAAAAGTTAGTTAAAATAGTAAAAATATCACATTTTATTATAATATAAATGAAAAGAACAAACAAAACAAAATTTTCCAAACTTCATTTTATTTAAAACATTACTAGTGCTAAAACTTCGAAATTACCACATCCGGATAGTAGGATGAAAACATAAAAATTAGTTGCTCAATAATGAAAATTTTTAAAGTCTATTTAGGATTTGTTTAAATTTTTGATAATCCTAGCAATATTAGCAAAAAAACTATATCCGGTCACATTATGATCATAATACGTTTTACCATTTTGGAAATGTTAATTTTACCCCACTCTATACTAATGATCATTGATGATAGGTTTTCCCTAGTTCACCTATATTATTTCACAGTGACAATTGGCATTGACTTTGACGTAAAACGTCAAAATATTAAAGTTCCAACTCAAACGGTTATAATTTAAAGTTTATTTATATTTTTTGCTGTAATATTATTTTTAACTTGTTTGATATATATTTTTTTTTCGTTAATTAAAATAGTAAAATACGTAAATACATTCTTTTTCGTTTTTAAACTTATTCTTTTATAATGGATATTTTAAATAGAAATGTTACATTTTGTTTCATTACTGACTGAATTTTAATCTTGATTGAGAATGTCCATAAATGTTCATGTTACTGGCAATCCGATAAGCATAAAAAGAGGAAAAATGGTTACTTCAGATTTCGACCAGTGTAAAAACGAATTCGACAAACGCCGCCTTATGAGACTAGAACAAGTTAGGCAACAATCTAAAGACATAGCCGAAGGACTTCGCAATAAAGTTAAAAAAGAGAAAAAGGTACAAATGAAAGAAATCGAAGAAGAGGGGAAGCAGAAATTAAAGAATTGGCAGAACAGAAAGTTATTGGAGCTACAAAACCAATATCAGGAAGCTTTAAAAGAACTCGGAGTAGCTCACAGAGCTGCACAAACTATTGGCGATGAAAATGAAATTATTGCCGAGCAAGAGCTCCTTAATAACAAGAAGGCCGATAAACGAGGCAAAGTGGCTGGCGGTAAGTTGTGTGAGGAAAAAATTAAAGAAGAATTGGATAAAGCAAGACAAGATGAACGAAGAAAGTTTGTACGTGAAATAGAAAATGCCAGAGCTCAGATGATAACTAGCCCTAAACCTAAAAGGCCGAAAGTTTGGGAAAAGCAGCGTAAATCGGATGGAGATATCAGCATAACAGTCTGTGATTCTGATGAAGGTGACAGTGAGAGTGATTTGTCTGAGAGTGAAGACTCTGGTGAAATTGAAGAGTCATCTAGTTGTTCATGCCTTGCAAGCAATTCAAAGGCTTCACTTACAGGAAATGTTTCTAAAAGAGATTTTTCAGGTATGAAATTAATTATGTATTCAGGGATCAACCCATTTAAAAATATTAAATATAACAACTATACATTGAACACAGAAATAAACTTTTATACTACAATAACATTAAAATAGGTACATACCTACAATAAAAGTTAACATGCTGTAATTATTAGTTTAGAATACAACAATAAATGCTAAAATACTACAATATTTGACTAGATGTGTGTCCTTTTATTCAACTGTTATTGCAACTTTGGAATTGGTACCCTATCTTCCTGTTTTTTTTTTATCAATCTATCAATGATAAACCAATGATATTGTCTTTTTATTTAATGTTGCTGCAATCGATTTCATGAAATGAGAAGATAATTAATTATTTATTTTATTGTGTGAAAAACCAAAAAAATAGTCTATTAGAAATTAATATACTTGAAGAATAGAATGTTCAAATGAACGAAATTATTTCAATTTAATTCGGTTATTATAAATGAATGAAAAATCTTAAAAAATGGTTAAGTATTAAGAAATACCTAGGCAGAAGGACTTCAGTCAATAGCCTATTGGACTGAATTTTCAGTTCAATAAATGACAATTATTATTATTATTAAGAAATAATTCTTTACAGTAAAAACTAAGTTGATCATTCATAAATCAAACTATCCATACATTGGGTAAAGCTCGGGGTAAAGTGATGGCTTAATGCAGACACTTCTGTAATTCTATACATCGTCTCTGTCCTCAGACTAAAAAATTGGGTATATATAATGTACGTTTTCACATTTCAAGAAAATTTCATTTCTCAAGGATCTACTTTATTCCTTGGTATTATTATGTTTGAGAGATAGATCAGGAAAATTTAATGCAATTAATATTAATTGTAGGAAAAAAGTGGGTCATATTAAATTGATTCATTTGGGAATATTAACATGTGGTTCCTATTTAATATATAATTTACTTCCTTTAAAAGATCAATAAGTGTGATGTTATAGATAAGGTTACTGTGTTTAAAATGAGTACAGAGTTCTTCTTAGTAAATATATAGTGCTATTTTTTGGGATTTATAAAAGTTTATATGTATATTTTAATAACTTTAAAGATAACAAGTAAGTAAACTTAAAATTTTCTTCCAAAATATTTTGTGTCTGCATTTTTGTTACATCTGGTTTTATAATTTACAAATTTGGTGGTATTATTTTGAGAAGGTAATGAAAAATTTAAAAATAAAACTAGGCTAATTCATAGGACATTTTTGGGCAAATATTAGACAGAGAAAAAGAAAATTTCTTAAAATCATGAAGTATGATGCGTATTTTCAGTATTTTTTCAAACTAATGAAATTATAAAATTCTGACCTGTCCACTGTTTCCTGGTGGATTGATTTAAAACAAACAGGTAGTCTTCTGGCTCCGTTCTAGCAAAATCACTTTATATTATTTAAAATTAGCAATAATTTATAAAAATTTTATATTTCAAGAGCCTAAAAATGTTCAAAGCTAGCAAAATTCCCCTGTATTTTTTAAAAATATCCATTTTTTTTTTCGAAAAGTGTTATAATATATCAAGAACCAAAATATACCTAGGCCTAAAAATATAGTGCTGCTTGAAAAAAAAACTTAAAAAAAGCAAAGTGCTCTGCTGGCTTCGTTCGAAGCTATCAGAGCACCTTGATTTTTTATAAAAAAGAAGTATATTTTTTGAAAATGGTATAAAAATAGCCCAAAAATATGGCATAAAATTTCCTAGCTGCTTGATGCATTTTTGGTATGTTTTTTTTTATTTTTTGGCAAGGATTATAATTTTAATTAGAATTTTAAATTTTATTATAGGAATGTCTTATTAATAATTATTTTTTTAATTTTTTAGAAAATACACGATTTTTCTTATTTATTTATTACCTTTTACACTATAAAAACGATGTTAAATAGTAATTTCCTCACTATGTTCCGATTAAATACACACTCATCTAATTAATAATGAATAAGGCATGAATTTAACAGTTCTATAATAGTTCTACTTTCTTATGAACACTAACATACTTTTTTATTTTCCTCAAAATAAAGGATTATGTGGCATGTAAAATTACCAAAAAAAAAAAAAAAAAAAAAAAAATGCTTTAAATTCGACACTTTGCAACTTTTTTAATATTTAATATTTCATTCATACTGATGCAATTTGTAAGCTAACAGAATATATAAACAATAATATAGATAATAAAGTGCCTAAAATTTGCGCCTTTCTCGACCTCGCTAAGGCATTCGACACTGTTTGTCACATACAGTTGTTAGATGCCTTGGAAGAGGTCGGAATAAGGGATATATCGCTGAAATTATTCTCAAGCTACTTAAGTGAAAGATTATAAGCAGTAAAAATAAAAAAATATGTAAGCGCTGAAAAAATAATCAAATACGGGGTTCCGCAAGGTACTATTCTCGGCCCAATCCTATTTTTGTTATACCTAAATAATTTTTTAAATTCCACCAATATAAACGGTCAAGTTACCAGTTTCGCTGATGACACCTTAATTATGTATTCAGCCGACACGTGGGATCTTGTATAACTTAAGTGTGAAAATGACTTGAAAAATGTTTTTGATTGGTTTGCACATAAAAAACTAACAGTTCATGCAGAAAAACTGTCGCTATTCCTTTTGTCAGCTATAAATCCAGTTTACCAAATTTCAATGAAATGAACATAAATAATCATGGTTATAACAAAACAATTAAACTTAAAAATTGCACGAAATATTTAGGGGTCGAGATTGATTCTCATTTAAGATGGGAAAATCATATTAATAATATAGTAAATAATTTAAGACCAGTTTTATATAAATTTAAATACATGAGAACTTGTTTGGATATTACTCACCTCAAAGTGTTATACCACGCCTTTGCAGAGTCTCGCTTGTCATATGCGATCCTAGCTTGGGGTTCTGTTGTGCCAACATATCTAGAAAAGCTTGAAATTATACAGAAAAAGATTATAAAAATTATGTATTTCAAGAAAACAACTTACCCTTCAGATAAATTATTTCAGGAAACTGAAATTTTTGATCCTCGTCAATTATATACTTATAATATTCTTAATTATTTATTTAAAAACCGACCATCATTTTAATATAGATCATTCCTATGATACCAGAAATAAAGTAGGTGGACATTTAAAAGTACCTACAAAAAATAAATCATCTGGCCAAAGAGCTTTAAATTATATAGCTAATAAAGTATTTAATTCCCTACCTGATGTTTACAAAATATATGTTAAAACTTTGAATTTTCTATTATTGTTCAAAAAAAGAATTAAGCATTATATTAGAATTACCAAGAGATATTTTTTTCGTTCGATTTTCTAAAAAAAAGAAGAAAAAAAAATTTTACTCATTTGTTACTTTTTCTTTTGGTATACATTTATTTATCGATACTTTATCTACAATAGAAAATATAGGTACTCAAAATTATCACAAACAAAAAAAATGTACACCCATGCACAACGTAATGTTAATATGGGCTTGTAATCATGTTTATTTTGAATAATTTGTGAAATTATAAGTATTTTTGTGCTCTTTAAAAATTTTTTGATAAAATATTGTAAAAAATAATTGTATCATTATTTAAATAAACATTATATTATTATTATTATTATTATTATTATTGAAGCAAGTTGAGTCATATCGTAATATTTTAAAGCCAAACTAAAATTATTTATTTACAATCCTGTTTTTCTTTTTTATATTCAATACTCTTTCATTTTCCATAGGAACTCGGTTTTTCCAACGTTCCTTATACTGTTGTCTGAAACTTCTATTAATTTTGCACAAAATTTGGGAAAATATTCGCGAATAATATTATATATTTGGAGTGAGGGTAGCCATATGTGAGTAGTAGGGATTAAGTGTAAGGGGTTAAAGAAAAGGTCCTTTATTTCTCACAAGTCAATTTAATTGGCGACCGGTTTCGAAGTTGTCACTTCATCATCAGGCACACCTAAATGGAATGTCAAGGAGTCAGTTGTAATAAAAAACAATTATAAAAGCATGAACGGACTTTAACATATACAAAATAACAGAAAAAACACAAAAGAAAGTTAAACAATAACCTTGACTCACCTTGACTATTTCCATAAAGGAAGCGCTACATAAAGTTTAACAAAACGAGTTAAAAAAGTCATATGTAATACAATAGTATTTTTTTATTTTTTTTATTATATTATATTATATTTAATTGCGCAAATTTTAGGCACTTTATTATCTATATTATTGTTTATATATTCTGTTAGCTTACAAATTGCATCAGTATGAATGAAATATTAAATATTAAAAAAGTTGCAGTTTCGAATTTAAAGCATTTTTTTTTTTTTTTTTTTTTTTTTTTTTTTGTAATTTTACATGCCACATAATCCTTTATTTTGAGGATAATAAAAAAGTATGTTAGTGTTCATAAGAAAATAGAACTATTATAGAACTGTTAAATTCATGCCTTATTCATTATTAATTAGATGAGTGTGTATTTAATCGGAACATAGTGAGGAAATTACTATTTAACATCGTTTTTATAGTGTAAAAGGTAATAAATAAATAAGAAAAATCGTGTATTTTCTAAAAAATTAAAATGGACATTAAAAAAATAATTATTAATAAGACATTCCTATAATAAAATTTAAAATTCTAATTAAAATTATAATCCTTGCCAAAAAATAAAAAAAAAACATACCAAAAATGCATCAAGCAGCTAGGAAATTTTATGCCATATTTTTGGGCTATTTTTATACCATTTTCAAAAAATGTACTTCTTTTTTATAAAAAATCAAGGTGCTCTGATAGCTTCGAACGAAGCCAGCAGAGCACTTTGCTTTTTTTAAGTTTTTTTTTTCAAGCAGCACTATATTTTTAGACCTAGGTATATTTTGGTTCTTGATATATTATAACACTTTTCGAAAAAAAAAAATGGATATTTTTAAAAAATACAGGGGAATTTTGCTAGCTTTGAACATTTTTAGGCTCTTGAAATATAAAATTTTTATAAATTATTGCTAATTTTAAATAATATAAAGTGATTTTGCTAGAACGAAGCCAGAAGACTACCTGTTTTTTTTTAAATCAATCCACCAGGAAACAGTGGACAGGTCAGAACTTTATAATTTCATTAGTTTGAAAAAATACTGAAAATACGCATCATACTTCATGATTTTAAGAAATTTTCTTTTTCTCTGTCTAATATTTGCCCAAAAATGTCCTATGAATTAGCCTAGTTTTATTTTTAAATTTTTCATTACCTAATATTATATACTTTCAGTTATATTCCGCTTCCAATAAATAATGCAATTTCGCAGAAAAGTTGCTACAACTGGGTAACTCATGATTCCTTTTTAAACAAGTTCAACAGGAAAACAGTAAATTAAAAAATACCGCGATCTATCCGTTATTGTATACAGCCACCGCCAATGATTTGTATTACAGACGATGCGCCACACCTATGAATTCAACAATGCATTTTCATATCATAGCGTATCACGTTCTGTAGAATTTTATCACTTTTTATAACATGAAAGAGAGAATAACAGTCTAAAATATATGGCAACACACTACACGTTATTTGTATAATGAAAAGAATACTTTTTTAATATATGTTAACTATTTTACACATTTTTTTATGAATTCCAGTATTAATATCTATTAATTTTTTAAATAAAACATTTAAAATTCCCTCATCAATCGCTAAAATAAAGATAATTAATAATATTATTAGTATCTTCGTAGTCCATGTCGCCATCACTTCTATTTTTTTGTAAATCTGCTTTATTATGGTGTTAGGTACTCAACCAATATGACCTCACTGATATATGAATTAAAAACTTTATTACAGCCACCAAGCACCAAGAAGAAAAACCTCCATCCATAGTACCACCGCTAAACCTCCCCCAGGACGACTCGCCCATTAACTTTATTCCTCCAAATTCACCGTCGGAACCACCAACTCTATCTTCACCAAGAAAACCTCGCCAAACTTACGGCGACACCAGAATATCAGACAGAATAAAGCGCAGGGATGGTGTCTGCACCGACAAAAGGGACATCAAAAGCCCAGAACCCACTCGAATACCCTTAGTCGAAAGCCGTACAGATGTACGAGATTTTATAAGGTCGAGGAGATGTCACACTGACTGCATTTGTTGTTGTAAACGCAGAGGTCACCACAGGACTGCTGATAAGCAGGTGGAAACCGAGTTTAAGGAAGATCACGGTACACAAACTAGCGAAAATTATATCCCGTCACATCCCTCTGTTATTGTTAAAGACAAACAATCAAAATCTTCTTTGGACGGGAAGCCGTCGGGTAGCAAAGTCAAAGTATACGATCATCCGAATAGATTCACCAGTGAAAAGAGTATACCATTCGGTTCAATGGTGGAAAAGATACCACTGGAGAGCCTGGAATATATGACTGATCAGGCTTCAGAAGAAGATAGGCAAGAAGCCATCAAAAGAAGAGATCGCGATGCTCAAATTAGAGGAAAGAAAGCCTTAGAAAAGGAAAAATTGCAACGAGAATATGAGGAGATGCTCAAGAAGTTACCATTACTGCAAAAGAAGGAACGAATTTGCGAGATTTACAACGATAAACCAGAGTATCACATGTCTGATGAGCGATTAAAAGAGAAGGAACGCGTTAAGCAGAATAATTTGGAAAACGCTTACGCCAAGCTATTTCCTAACCTCAAACCGGCTACTGTGACCCTACCGAAGACCGCTCAGACCAACGATGAAGAATCTTCCAACGACAACGAAAATTCCGTGCACTCCTTAAATACTGCCGAATGGGACGTAGACAATAGAGTACCTAATAAATTTTCTTCCAAAGAAGTGCAAGACATCATCAAAGGTTTCATTAAACGCAAACCGCGCGATAGAAGATCGACTTTGAGAGAACTGTTGAAGACTTTGAACATACAGAAAGAGGAATTATTGAACGCTATTGCTGCTTTACCGCAAAACGATACTATAGAAGAATTGATTAACGATTTGAGATCTTTTAGCGATACTGACGCTAGAAGCAAATCAAAATCGAGTAAATCGAATAGGAAGCGAAGGAAAGACAACGAAGCGGATACGTCGATCGACAGCAGTCAGGAATCATCTTCTAAGGACATTAAAGGTGTTGGGAAGGAAAGCTCTTCGAGAGGAGTCGGGAAATCGCCCAGGAAGAAAGCCAAGACGAAAACCCGGCCGAATGTTATTATATTGCAGAATACCAGTACGCAGACGACGCCGAAGAGTTCCAAACAGGTGACGAAGGTATCCGAGGGTGTGATGACCGATGAGACGAAGAAGCATGAGAAAATTTGTGATAAACTGCACGTACCTTGCGATTGCAATAAGGAGAATCAGGAGACATCTGATGATTTGTGCCATATTTTTATCAAGCTGAGCGACGATGATGTTCCTGAGGTTTGTAAATTATAGTTTTTATTATTACTCCAATTTATTAATATTTTAATAATAGAGATCAGTAAACCGATAAACAGATAAGACTGATTGACACATTGAAAAATCACGTTCATTAACTACAACATGCACACTAATACATAATAAATAGAACAATAATAATTATCACAATACATTAACCTATGTCACAGTTTAACACAAAACTTATGATGCGGTGTGTATGTTTAAATCAATTGATAAGACTCCTATGGCGTTTCTGTTGATACGGCACTCATTTGTTAAATAATTAATGAAATTTGTAAAAATATTGTATCAAGATATATATGTTTAAAACGTTGAGAATTAAATTTATTTCTTTTCTAAAAGGTACTTCGACTATTTCACATAATCATGTTGGTCCTTCAAGTCGGATTTGACTATTTGTAATTCTCTTTCCAATCACTCAAATGTAGTGCCATTTTTCTATGATTTGAATGAAGACAATTTGTATAAAGCCTAAAACTTTTAGTCTTTCACTCACTGTTAAATTTAAGAATAAGGACAACTGAATGAAAGATTATTATTGCCACACATTCGACATTTAACATTTCCCGTATTTACTATTTTCATGATCGATATTTCCAATTAATTAGGTCTAATTTTGGCAATTTATTTTCACCTTGTAAATTGTCCCATTGATTTTTTGTCACGGTACCTAATTTTTTCCAAAATAATATGACTAAACAGTGTAATGGAATAGAATGTGTGAAACATTTATCAATTCAGAATATAGCTAGCCGATTTTTTGAGACAAAAGGTTTGTTCCAACAGCTCCTTTCTGATGTGACTCTGACTCGTGCATGGATGCATTCGTAAACTAATCACTGTGCATGTCAGTCCGTTTATTGGTTCCGTTGTTTAATCAGCGACTTGTATTTGTTGGAACACAAAATACAATGGAATTGGACAAACCAAACACATGTTTGGTGAATTGGTACTTTAAACATTATTTAGAATACAACAAAATACATTTATTTAGCTGTCTCGAAAGCTCTATGTGAATGTATAATTTTGAAACCTTAAGATGTTTATTTTTATTAAAAAGAAGTACGTATTTTACATAAAAAACTGTACACAAGATAAAAACAAAAAGAATTAATTTCAATTGAAAGAAATAGAAACCCAAGTCACTCCAAACTAACTTAAACTCCCAACAATTACAAACAAATAGCACGAACAATTAGATACGTTCAAATGCGCATGTGCTGATAAATTGTACAAGCGATGAAGCTCTGATCGTTTTGACAATCCGCCGACTCATTCATGTACGAATCAGAAAATATGTTGGAACGTTTTACTGACAGTTCATCGGATTATCCATGGCTTTGTAGGAACGGACTATTTTCAATGCGCATGCATCTGACGTCCTTCTGATGTTCAGATTCGCTGTTGGAACAAACCTAGTACCTTCTTGCAGGTTGTTCCAAGTGTATACCAGTCGGTTGCTTATATATTTCCTTTTTCGGAACTAATTGCATTTTTTGGAGTGTCTTCTATGTGTTCCATTCTGATAAACATTAAAAATCTTGTTACAAGAGTAATTCTCACTAATCTATTTGTACGTTTCTATCAGATCACCTCTATTTCTATGTTTCTTATGCGTTTGGAGTTGAGGGGATTCTAGTTACCTTCCTATGAACCTTTTTTAACATTTCTACATCTTTAACATAATATGGGTTCCAAACTGACATTACAAAGTATTAGGAATAAGAGTGGACCCAACACTGAACCCTGTTGTGCTTCAATGATATCAGGATGATTTATTGACACTTGACCATTGACTTTTATTTATTCACGGGCCTTGCCCACTTTCAGTACAAAGTTACAAATAAAAACAAAAAAAAAACTCAAATATAGTCAATCTAAATAATATGTCATAATAATGATAAACTAACAACAAAAATCATAAATATATTAACATGTACAAAATCGAAACAACTAATATTAAGACTAGGGAATTTAAGTCACAGTAAGTTTCAACACCCTCAAAAAATTAGAAAAGCTTGAATTAAAAAATTCTAGACATACTTGCCTTTTGATTAAAAAGCTGTCAATCCAATTAAGTAAATTTTCTCTAACTCGCAGGTGTTTCAATTTTAAAAGTAGGCTCTTATGCGGTACTTTGTCGAAAGATGTTGTATAGTCTAGGTATATAAAATCTGTAGATTCACCATTATCATGTTGTTATCCACTTTTTCAAAAATGACAGCATATTGGTTACTACTGATCGAAGAAAACCATGTGGTGATGAGTGAATTAATCTATTATTCAAAGATGTGATCTCTGGTTATAGTTTTTTTCCATTACTTTGCAGATATTGCTATTAAAACGTACTGGTCTGTAATTTTCAGGATTAAGTGTTCTCCTCTTTTTAAACAGTGGTGTCACTATTGCATTCCAGGTGTTCGGTATTACTCCAGTGTCCATTAAATGATTCATTAAGTCAGTTAAATGTATTTTTAGTGAAGAAAGGAGCATGTCTTTGATCACTTCCAGGGCTTGAATCAGTGAAGGGCTTTACTAACTTTTTCAGATGTAAAAAACACAATATGTAAATCTAAAGTTACCGTAAAGGTTGTTATGGTTGCAAGGTTATTGGCAGGATTTTGATTATAGACACTCACGAACTGATTAGCAAATCTTTCAGCTATCTTTATGAGATCAGTGATTAATATTTGAAAAGCTACATCCTTTTGGTTGATAATAGTGTTATTTGAACATAAACATTTTTTAAATAATAATAAAATTATGTTTTAGGTTCTGGTAAAGTCTAAAGACAAAGAAAAATCTTCAAAAACTGCCTTAACGAAACACACGACAATTGGAACCCAAATGTCTCCAGACGCAACAATCAGAACCCAAAAACCACCAGAAACCATCAAAAAACCACCCCACAAACCCAAACCAAGACCACCAGAACGAAAAACCGCGAAAGCAGACCCTAGCGCAGAAAAATCTCGAACCTGGAGAGACCAGCTGAGCAAAAACTCAATCTCAACAACCAGTACTTCTTACTTAAGCCCTCCTGATTTCCACAGATCCAAAAACTCCGAAAAATCATCATTCTACAATCAAAGATCCAAACCTCATAAAGATACTCTCTCGTCAGCTTTTACTTCAACGAAATACGATTCGATGAATCAATCCACGGATCCGTTGAAGCCGTACGTGAAGCAATTGTTGAGTATGTCCAAAGGAATCGTGGACAATATGAGTGTATCGACGAGTAATGTCGAGACACCAAGCCAGAGTATCATAGAGATGGATACCAACGTTCCAAAGCAGGAATTGATGCAGTTGGTGGAACAATTTAAGGGTACAGTAGATGATATCGCTACTCGTTTACAGTCCTCTCCTGACATTAGCGCCGTGCCGTTCAACACCAGTGCTACCAGTAGCGGTAAATCTTGCAACCAAACCGATTGTCGACCAGTTTACCAAGAGAACACTAGCTCGTCTTCTGGTCAAGTTAAAGAGGATCTAGTAGCCCAGTACGCGAAAGTATCTGATTCTGTCACTAAGAGAATAGCCACCTTGACCAAGATGATCGAGGATTTGAGAAATGAGAAGATCAAAATGCTGCAGTCGTCGAAATCGAAGAGTTTTCAGGATAGGGATTTTTCGACGAGGTATATGGATTTACCGGAATTAAGGTCCAGTAGTAGTTCCAGTAAGAGCAGCAGTTCGGAAGAGGAGGAGATTCTGAAGAAGTTGATGGAGATCGATCAGAGCGTTGTGGAGAAGATGGGAAAGATCAGGCAACAGCAGCAGCATCAAAGGACTTCTAAAGATGCGGTCGATAGAAGTGAAGATTCCGGTAAGTTTTCGGAATGAAAATTTGTGAAAGAATGTATGAGAGAGACAATGAAAGAAATACAGAATATTGCATGGTTGGTGAAAGATTCTGTGTACCTTTCAGTTTTAATACTTTGACCACATTTGAGAAGATGAATAACTTTTTACCTAAATTTAGGTTTTCGATTGCATGATGAGCTATGAGCTATGATGGTTCTATGGCATAGTATCAGTTATAGCCGCTAGATGTTGCTGAAATCACTGCATTGCTAGGTAGATTTAGACTACATTTTTATTTTCCCATTTTTTTAATTTTTATTTTATCATTTTAACATTTTTTCATTTTCTTATTTTTACATTTTTTACGTATTTATGTCTTTAACGTATTTCTTTAACGAATTTCTTTACGTTTTTACGTCTTTACGGTTTTACATCTTTAAGTCAAGACATTTTTACTTTTATTTTTACATTTATACCGTTAACATTTTTACATTTACACTAAAAATGTTGGGAGAAACCATTTAGCTAAAAAGTATTTGTTTGGAAACACGCAGATACCATAACCAAAAAGCGTTTATCCTTTAAATTTTTTTAAACACTTTAATTTACCGCCCCACTTAGGACGCCATTTGAAATGGAGTGTCAAATTTTCAAAACAATCCAAAAATGTCAATAGAAATTTTTCTACAATAAAAAATACACTATATTTTCATATTATTTCTTATCATAACACTTTTTCGTTCCTTTGTATATGTTATCTACTTTCCTCATCGGTCGTTATTCACCTTATGATTTCATGTATCTTTCTTAACAAATCCAATTCCGAAACTACCTAGATTCAGCTTGGTTAAATAGTATACGAACGTGTTGAGACAGTAAAAGTTTTTATTATACAATCTTAAAAAAAATTAAATAAACAATGTATAACAATTTTGATTATACAGGTTTGAACTTAAAACATTCCCATTTAATCAAAATTTAAGCATTATTGGCAACTAAATTAGGCCCAGTCCTAAGATTCACCCGTTATGTTTTATTGTTAGAATGTCAGCTGACATGTTTTCAATTTTATATAAATAATCAGATTTTAATCCTTCGTCAAAAAGTCGAAAGAAATCTCCTTTTTTCATTCCACATATTTTTTCCTCATTGTTTTATTTATTATTCTTCCAGTTCCAAAACCCAGGGACCTGACATCCCCGAACTCGACCAACCAAGAAATCATCGACAGACTGCAACGCCTTAAAGACCAAGACCAACCGCCCAATTCAACGAAATCCCAACAACAATCCTTCGTCCCTTTCCTCTCCGACATTCCCAAACTTCCGAAATTCGAACCCCAAACTGATTCTAATCAGCTCCACAAGCGCCCACCGCCTTCAAAAGGTCTAGCGGCCGCCAAGAAGTTCAACGGTAACATATCGTTGGTTCCTCACGAGCTATCCACTATAGTCGAAGGCGATAGTCAGATGTCGAAGGTACCTTCACCAGAAACGTCGGATATGAACTTGAACGTACCATTACTAACGATTCCCGAGGCGGAATTAGAGTCTGGCAGCGGGAAGTCGCTCAAGTATCGCGACTGCAATAAATCGAGCAGCAGTAGTAAAGAAAGGACGACTAGTACTAAGGATGATAGTATGAAGTCTTGTGATGAGTTACCGAGTTCTATATTGGGTTCCTCTTCGTCGTCTTCTTCAGGCAATCGGAAGAAATGTGATGACTCCACTTGCGGTGCGATAAGCCTGCAGCATTTTTCTTCATCTTCGAGTGACGACGTGGAAAATATCGAAGCTATGTTGAGGAGCATAGGAATGGAATGGGCAATACCGACGCTTTATAAAACCCAAGAAGCTCTAGCTTTGGGATCAAATAGTTCGAGTTCGTTGGATGTCAGTAACAAAAAGAAGAAGAACCAATCGGACGGCATCGGCAGCGCCAGCGAGATCAGTTTGCGCGATTACCTGAGAAAGAAAGTATTGAAGGTATCAGCTAGTACGATGCTTTCTGATACCACCCCGCCGAGTTTCCTTGGGGATCAGACGGAGCTGTCGGGTATAGTGCAATGCTTGGGTAATTCCAGCGTGGATAAAAGCAGGCAAAGGACTTCGACGCCAATAAATGATAGCAAGAGTACCAGTAAATCGAAAGCTGTGTTCACTGATTCGGATTTGTCATCTATTAAGCAGGAGAAGAGGAAGAGTTAGCGTTGGTTGTTATTTATTGATCGGATTTTATTTTTTATATTATGTACAATTTTGATTATCTGATTAAAGCTTTACTTTTTGAATCCTCGCGTTTTATTTAGGGACTTTTATAGGAAGTAGCGAAGTTTAAACTTGCACTGACAAGTAGGTAGGTCAAATATTTGCCTTGATGGGAAAAGGTATCAGATAAACAAGTAAAGACCACTGACAAGTAGGTAAATCAAATGTTCGCCTTAACGGAGCGAATTGAGTAGAAATTTGTATAATTTGTATAAATGGAACGATATTTTCAGAAGTGGTGTAGCTCAGTGTTACACTTTCGATGCAAAGGAAAAGACCTATCATATGCAAGAAAGTATTCGTTAAAAGGAAATCGAATCATTATAAATTGGATGTTATTATACGCCTTGATTTAGACATATGCATTAATTGTAGTCTTACTTGGACTTAAAGCTCGTTAACTTGCTACAACTGAATATTATTATTTATTGTTTCGGCCTTTACTTGATGAAAATTCATTTTATCTTGAATGAGTAAAACCAAATTTGGTAGATTTTCACAAAACTTTTATTTAAAAAAATAAAAACATAATGATCAATTAGATATTAATAACTCACCCTTATTAAATCTTTTTTCCTAGTTTTCTGTGAGATAATTCCGGTAATGTTACTATCTTATTGTTATTTGATTGATATCATAATTACCTAAATACCCTTATTTACTTTAAATAGTTAGTTTATTTTGTTATTGATGTTTTCTTAAGTACTTTGTTTTGTTAAATTATTGTGTAGTGTTTTTAATTTTTATTTTTTAAAATAAAAGTTTTGTGAAAATCTACCAAATTTGGTTTTACTCATTCAAGAACTAAATATTAAATTATAAAACGTAAAAAAGCGAGTAAAGTGTACCTGCCTGTAAGGGCGTTTGGTTTAAACAGGATACCAGACGTGAACTGAGCCCTTTTTGTACCCCCGTTTTTTTTCTGGAAAACAAAATTTCAAAGCAAAAACCATAAAGGAAAATAAATTCTTTGCAAATAAAACAAAAGAAAAAAAAAACAATTCAATTCTAAAGTATCTTTATAAATAATCATGGCAGTCTGAATCATCTGAACCAGAGTCATCATTTGGTTGAATTATGATGGGTTGTAAAGAGGGTAATACTACATACTCATCTTCTTCTTTAATAACATGTTCGACACAGTTTTTCCAAAGCTCTTGGCGGTCTGCTGCTAGAACTTTCTTTACGAGTTCTACAACCTCTTTACTCAGTTCTGGAGACTGATTACATTTTCGTAATTCTGATTTTACGTTTGTCCATATTAACTCTATAGGGTTAAATATGCAATAGTAAGGAGGTAGTCTGAGAAGAGTATGACCCTGTTCTTTGCACAGCTTGTCAATATAATAAATGTTTTCCAACTTCATGCCTTAAATAACAGTAAGCAATTCTTTGTTTGTTGGGCCTTTTTTACGATCACTGGCAGGAATAGGAATATTTTTTTCAGACATAAACGCTAAAATTTGAGCTTCGTTACTGCTACTATTTGGTATTTTAAGGAGTTGCCGCGAGTGGTAGGATGCGTTGTCCATAACGATTACTGACTGTGGTGGAATGTTAGGTAAAAGCTGTTCATTAAACCATTTTTCAAATAATTCTGCTGTCATATCTTCATGATAATCAGCTGCACAGTTTTTAATTTGTTTAGCAGATAATAATAAAGCATTAGGCACGAAACCGTCTTTATTATAATACGTATCCCTTTAGAACAAGGCCCATTCAAACAGCAATTTTTACTACTATCAACCCAACCGAAATGTACTACATCGTGACTGTCAAACCATGTTTCATCTAGATAAATTATGTGTCTATTAGAACTTCTGTACTCTTTTATCTGAAGCAAATAATCTTGTCGCCATTGAACTATCCTTGACGATTCGGTGATTGCCATCCGTTTATTCAATTTTTTGTGTTTAAAACCACATGCTGACAAAACTTGACGCAATGTTTCTAAACTGGTATAAGTGTATCCTGGAAAATCTGCTACCTTTTGCTGTATTACTTCCAATGTTGGAACCCTGTTCTCCTTATATAAACTATAAATTGTCCTTCGTATAAAATCTTGGGTAGCTCTGTCAACTGATTTCAGTTTTTCTTTACATGTTTTTCGGTTTTGTGAATGATCCACAGCAAACCCTTTTGTGACTACCCGATAAATGGAAAATTTATTTACTTTAGTTAATTCAGCAATTCTTATTATGATCGCATTATCAGACTGCTGAATATTTTCCTTTTTTAAACATTCGAATATATTTAAAATAACTTATGTTTGTATATTAAAATCCTTATTATTAAAGTCATACCTGTCTATAATCTCACTACACTGTGCAATTTCATTTTCTTCATTCGCCCACGGTCCAAAGAACGCCATATTTATATTTATTAAAAGAAATTTAACCACACATACAAAACACACCGCACGACAGTACTCCACTGATATCGCAGACTGTCTTCTAGGAATATTTTCGAACACTCCTGCTCTCCGTAAACCTTCGCCCAATACAGTGCATTTAAGTTTACGATTCGATGTTTTCATTGGTAAACAACGGAAATGATGGATTTTGACACATATATATCAAGTACACGTTGACTAACCGTTCGTTTAATATTTACCGCATTGTATAAGGGGAGTAAACATTATTTTTCGTTTCTAAATTTGGCATGAGTGCCGTGCGTATATATTAAATATTGATGATTCCCCACATAACTGTGTTCTGCAATTGATAATGGAAGGACTATACTAAAAGTGGATTATCTACCAGCAGTTAGGTCCGAGGATTAAAGTTCAAGCCGAGATTTAATAGTAAAGTTATTACCACCAGAACATGTAATGGGAACATAACTAGACCTGTTCCAAATATATGCGATTTGCAAGTTGAAAGCTGACCTTTCAAGACATACTGTTAAAAAGCATCCTGTGCAATTCCTAATTGAAGACACAAGTGGATGAAAGGCATATGTAACATTTTTTTAAAATGGTATTTTTCTGTGAATGAAGGGCGTACGTACTTAAAATTCGTTTATGATGTCTTCCGTGACAATATATCATCAAACAATAAACTTTAACACGAAATATCTCATAAAAATTATTTTGCTACATAGGCCCTTCATTCACTTGTGTCTTCAATTGTCATAGAAAAATTTATGAAGTACATGAATTTCAATTTGACCTCTGAAGTTACTTTGCAGCTTCAATCGTGTAGACACATTTTAATTTCGCCTCAAATATTTGCTCTTCTGTTAACGGATAAGTTTTAATTTAGTAGCTGACAGATCTGAGAGTGCACTGTGGTTGTTTTTGTAAGATTTGGAGCCAAATTCCAACCAACAATGCCTTAAATACATTAATGAAAACAAGAGTATATGTTCTATTCGTTATTTATCTAGAATGACCTACTACAGTAAAATAAAATATTTTGCTTCAATAATTTGTTGAAGAAAATTACAAACATAAAATATCTAATTTACTTTGATATCGCTTGATGCCAAAAGCATATTATTCAAAAAACATGCAGGAAACCTCTTAATTGTCCAACCACAAATACACCATTTATGAAACTATCCATTCATTTCGGGCAACTCTATCTGTCCCTCTTCTATGTCTGGCTGGTGATCAGTATATCGTTAATATTTGCGAGTCGTGGTCTGGATCAGAAACTGTGGAGCCAAAATTGTCTTGCTGGGCGAGTCGAACTTTGTTATTCTGGTTCACCAATTTTTAGGTAACATCTTTGAATTGAATTGGTGATCAGATTCCCAGAAGCTGTTCTTAATCGTAAAAATCTCATTGAACCATCTTTACTAGTGATCACTTTTTAAATTTTTGCTAAAGGATGGAATATTTCCTGCCCTGCTTCAGCGGGCACAGGAAGGATAATTATTACTACATATAATCCGGATATCCAGGAGCAGTCTGGAACTGCGATATACACCAGAATTATGGAGAAGGGCCAGAGTCACCTTTATAACAAAAGTTGGGAAAAAGGATACCATACATGCTAAACCCTTTTGACCAGTCCAGATGAATGACCCAGCTTCTAGCTACGAAACACAGATAGGACAGGACACCATCCATCTGCACAACTAGAGGATGTCCACAAGGATGAGTTATTTCCCCACTAATGTAAAGCCTAACCGTAGACGAATTTCTATGGAGATTAACTCACCTCGTTATACCCTGTCAAGGTTATGCCGACGACATAGTCATATTTGCTAGAGGCAAGTTTGGAAATATCCTGTGAGGACAATACATGAGAAGGAAGCAGTAAATAAGGCTACAAAGTAATAGTATGCAGAAACATTGTACGTAAAAGATGTAACCCGAACACACTGCAATGGATGACTCCATGACAAAACAGCGCAGGACAGAATATCGCAGAACATAATGGCGTAGATAAAATAGCGCAGGACAAAATAGCCCAAGGATAAAATAGCGCAGAAGATTAAAGCGCATGTCTGAAAAAAATTGACATAAAATTTAAAAAAAAATTGTCTGGAGCAACCCGCCATGGTTCCAGGCCGCGCAGGTTAGATAAATTAGTTTAAGATTTTTTTTTTAATTTTAATTGCATACTAGTATATTTTGTCATGCGTTAATTTGTTTCAGTCTTTTTTGAAAAAGCGCTAACTTAACTCACTATAATTGTCTCTCATGTATTTGTCTCGGCGTAAGTTTATCGCAGCAAATTTGTCCCGCGCGAAATTGTTTCGCGTTATTTTGTCCTTACGCTATTTTGTCGTTCGCTATTTGGTCCTGCGGTATTTTGTCATGTGCCATTTTGTCCTTGGTAATTTTGTCCTGCGCTGTTTTGTCATGGAGACGCGATGGATGCATACAACAATAGTAAGACTAATTATCACATATGGGATTGTAGACTGAAGTAACAAAACTAGTTTGGCTACTACGAGAGCTAATATCTCAAAAGTACATAGACTACACAGAAAAAAATTATCATCTATATTCAAGAAAAGCTTTACACTTGGAAGATTACATTTGTTTGAAATAAAGCAGAGTTTGCTTCAAATAATATTTCTCGATATAATAAGAAAATAAATGTTGAGTGAAGTATAGGCATAATCTTGTATTTTAAGAGTTATAATAATTAATCTGAGAATAAATTGTTTCATTCGAGTATAGAATTGTGAATTATTTCAAGAAAGCTCTTACGTTTATTATAAGTATGATATGCTCTTAAAACCGACTATTGCGTGCTTGATTCAATGTTATAAAAGGGTTAGATTCAAAGCATTTAAATTTCAGAACAAGAATTAAACAATTCGAATCAAGAACCTATGTACTTTACAAAAGATTAGCTAGGTCAAATTCACTGCACGGTGTTGCCAGCTGAAACTTATTTTAAAATGCAACCACTGCACTGATACGGTAGATATATGACTGGCACATGTTGAGATGTGATAGTTATTATTCGGAAGTCAGAGTCACAACGCATTTATAGAGAATCTGGCAAATTGGCATTAGCACGTGTTCATCCTATTGTCCATTTTCTAACATGTTTGCATGGTATCGTTAGGGTTGCGTTTTACTTTTTGTTAAAAATTCTTTGTAATTCAATTAATAAGTGTATGAATAAAGTAAATTGAAATGGAATATTTGTTAAATGAATGGGACCTCAACGACCTGATACCAATATTTAAATGTAAGTATATTTAGTTCACTTCTTGTTAGGTATTATTATATATAAATAAATTTATAATGATAAGAACACGAAACAAACTGGAATAGAAGTAAAAAAATGTATGATGCTGGATGACGACTTTTGGAAAGACGACTTCTGCGTTGCTAAGAGAAGAGGTCGTATCTACGAAAATTTTGATTTCAAGATTCTTACAAATTTAATAAGCTTACATTTTATTTTATTATAACACAAAATAATAAAGGCCTATTTGCATTAGAAAATATTTACTATAATTATAAGAAAAGGTTAGTAAAATATGCAAAACTTATTTGCGAAGTCTAGAAGGACGTACTTATCTACCCACCCACATTTACTAAAAATATTCATTTTGTAAATACGACCTCTTAGTAGGACATACTTTTATGTTCCATTTAGGTTTTGAAGTTATAAAATCATTTTTTTTTAATTATGGGAGGAACACCTCAGAGGACAGAGGAATTTGGTATATTATCTAAGAACAATTTTGAAAAATGTTTTTCGGTGAAAAGGTACCAGTGAGAACCCTATTAAAAAGCAAGAACAGCCTGATCTTATTTCAAGATTATTAATTTCTTCAATGAAACTATCCTATAATTCAACCAAAATCAATATATTTATTTATTTATTTATTTATTTATTTAATTTCAAACAGGCATTTAGCCTAATTACATGAAATTTACAAAATTAAATAGTAAAAGTTTTATATAATATATTATCGACTGTACAAAGATAAATTAAGGAGAACAAGCAGGTACACATTTATGAGAACTGTTCTAAGTAAAATTTTAAAACTCTATTTTTAAATTGCGTATGACCCAATGAAAAATCTAAGTCAGTTAAAACGCTGATTTCGTTTGCGGTTCTAAGCATAGAAGATATGGGAGAGCGGGCTGTACAGGTTAACGTAGAGGAGGTTATTCTGAATAGCTGAGGAGATCTGATTCCACATCTTGGAACATTAAAATTAATTAAATTTAGAATATAGGGATCATAAATAGCTCCATTAATTACTTTGTGTAAAAATGATAATAAATTTATATTTCTTCTCAAGGATAGAAGATTAATTTTAAATAATTTTCTTAAATCGGTAGTTCTCGTTACTGTATAATCCGGCCAAATATTATGTTTTTTGTAATAAAGATATCTTAAAAATTTATTTTGAATTTTTTCTATTCTAATTAGGTATACGGCTGGCTGTGATTGCCAAATAATAGAGGCATATTCCAAAATTGGTTGCACAATTGTGAAAAATAAAATTTTGATTGCATTTAAATTTGAAAAACATTGTGTATTTCTCATTACAAAGCCTAATGCCCTATTGCCCCTACTACAGACTTCTTCAAAGTGCTGTGCAAAAGACAAAGTCGAATCATAGCTTACTCCTAAATCTTTTACTTCATAATTTCTTTTAAGACTTTCTGTTTGCATAATATAATCAAATAATATCAAATTTCTTTTATGAGTAAAGGTTATTACGTTACATTTTTTTGTATTGAAAGGCAATTTATTCACTAAACTCCACTGTACTATTCTGTTTATGTCCCTTTGTAATCCAACACAGTCCCTAACTGTTAAAACTTCTTTGTATATTTTAAGATCATCAGCAAATAGTACACAAGCCGACTCTTTTAGAACATTTGGTAAATCATTAATAAAAAGCAGAAAGAGAAGAGGACCGAGATTTGAGCCCTGAGGAACTCCGGAGTTCACATCACATAAATTAGAATTGTGGCCCATATATGTAACAAAGAATTTTCTATTTTGTAAATAAGTTTTAAATATTTTGTGATTTATCCCAAAATGGCCTAGCTTAAGCAATAGTAAGTCATGATCAACTTTGTCGAATGCTTTTGCGAAATCTGTGAAAATTACATCCAATTGGTTTCTGTTTTCAAACACTCTGTAAATTTCGTTTGTAAATTGTAGTAGGTTCGTATTAACCGATTTCTTGTTAATAAATCCATGTTGCCATATAGTTATGCTATTTTCTACATGGGAATAAAGTTGTTGATATATTATTTGCTCAAGTAATTTTGCTGGCGCTGACAAAATTGAAATACACCTATAATTTGAGATATTAGTTTTATCTTCTGATTTGTAAATGGGAATACATTTTGCAGTTTTCCATTTTTCTGGAAATGTTTCCGATTTAATGGCTAAATTAAAAATATGCAGCAAAGGAATTTCCAACCACTCTGAGCAACCTTTCAATATGTAAGGAGGGAGCTCATCAACCCCGGCTGATTTTTTAGGTTTTAACTTTTTTATTGCATTCTTGTAATCTTTTTGAGTCACTGGATTTAAAATAAAAACATCTAAAGCACTATTAATATCACTTATAATATCGTAATTACCTTTTATATTATATTTGTAAACGCTTTGAAAATAATTAGCAAAATTTTGTGCAGGTTGAGTACTTGATAAATTATAATTGTTATTAAGGTGAAATTGATCACTATTTGAATTATTTTTCTGCCTTTTCTTATTTATGTATGCCAAAGATCATATTATTATTGTAACAAATTTAGTTGTATTGGATTTAAGAACAAGGTATTATTGAATATAAATAAAGTATATTTAAAACAAGTGTAAGACTATTTCATTTAAGATGTACATAATACTGCAATTGAGCAATAGATACTCTTAATTAGAGATATTTTGGTTAGGGCAATCTTGAAGCAAGGCTTATCAGCTAATGTTGAACAAGTATTACGAGAATTTTAAATCGAGACGAGTTTTACTTGCGGATATACAAACACAACAAAGCATTGAAATAAGACCATTCATCTTGAATATAGTACACATTTTTTTCTGTGATAGACTGTGTTTGCATCACCGGTGCAATGAGAATCTGTCCAACGTCGCAATGGAGATGTAGAATAATCAGGAATGGAGTAATCAGACGAAAGTCTATTAGCTTGAGGATCGAAGATACTTGTGATATGCCCCAGGACAAAATGAGAAAGAAGTACAGTTTTGTAAAAAAACTGCAAAAGTACAAAGCTGGGTGCAAGAAAGAATGGAGCCAAGAATCCATCTTGCTTGCAACCGAAAGACATGCCATTCAGGGGTATACGTATGGTACCAAAACCATAGAAGGAACTGAAATATGAGTTATGGGCCTCTGAAAGTTTTAATATATACCCAAACATCTTCCAGGCCGAAATCACGCTATTGAGAAGATATTCAGTTCAATATCGAGAAATGGTATTTCAGTCAAGAGATAATCATCTTACGCAATCAGCTCAAAAATGGTATGGAGATGCCTAGAAAAACTGAATGAGCTAGGCGAGGAAAATACAGTTACTTTCATTTGGGTCCCGGTACATAACGGGATAAAGGGTATCGAGATTGCAGATAGTCTCGCAAGGAAAGTGAACCTGAGCCGTTCTGCGGTATCAGCAGTTACACAATATGTTGAACTGTCAAATGACTTTAGCTTAAAGAGTCTTTGGCCACCACACCACCGACCCATAAGTTATCATAGACTCTGGTATTCAGTCTTAAGGACATTTTTGGTTGTAGTCCTCAATTTGTTCCAAACATTGAATTAAATAATATGTCATTTAATTTCTATATAAGACAGGTGGATGTGAATTATTTGCTTTACGTTTTGTTTTTTACAATATTGACAAAAAATGGACACCTGAGGAGAAGGAATCATAAAAAGCAACTAATACATGATTAGGTATTTATGTGTACAAATTGTAAATGATTTTATCACGCCGGTCAGCACTGATTATTATTAAACTTTTCATAAAGCATAAGCTTGAATTTTATAATTTTGTCCCAATAGATTCGCGAGAGATGGCAAAATGGGGCGCATGAGCGCGCCCTTATAGTCGATATTTCTTTTAACCTTCAATATTATGTTGTTTACCCGTAAAATTAATACCCAATCACATTTTGTTTGAATACAATACATTGTTGATTTTGTTTATCTGGTAAGTACAAATGTTTCTTAGTTTTTTTGTAAATATTTTATATGGAGAATGTATGTATCCTCATAGAATGGGACTGTTGAATTAATTATAAAATATTATTACGGAATCAAGAAATACTATGTAGGTAGGTACTTTTTACATACATGGAAAGTAGGTACCTTCTAAATTTTTAGCTACATTATCTTCTTATACCAAATTGTCTTCTATTTCGATACGTAACTAACGTTTTATAAAAGTTTTTCAACATGTTATTATAACCTTACTCATGGTATATGGCGATAATAATATATTATTCAACGAGTTTATAATAATAGCAATTATATGCGAGTAATTTTTTCACGACTGTTATGATTTATGAAAACACTTTTCTTTGGGCAAATATTTATGGAACATTATTTTTATTATTTATGAAAAAACAAAAACAAAATAATATTAACATTAACTTAAAACTAATCACCTACAATTTTACATTATTTCTGTTAATATTTAAACAATTTGTTAGGTTAATTGCAGGAATAAAATTAACTTCTAAATTAATAAATTTTCTGGATAAGGTATTTTTAGAAATGCTTTGATTGCTGGCATAAAAATTAGAACTATTTACTTATATGTAGAGGGCGGAATATATGCATCAAAATATAACAAAATATGCGCATATATATGCATCGTTTTTACCAAAAATATGCAGTTATTTTGTCCAATTATGCCTAAAAATTGCAAATGCATATTTGTTAAAAATACTTAAAAAAAAGTAGGGGGTGGGTAGCTCAGTGGTTAGTGCGTTGGCCTGTGGACTTAGGGGTCCCGGGTTCAAATTCCAGCCGGGATGCGATTTTTTAAATTAATTAATTTATTTAAAAATTAATTCTGATGCCTAGCGAATATTTCCACTTGACCATTCACTGTTGGGTTCTAATTAAAATTGCTGTTCCTAATTTGGTACGCTATCAAAGCCATTACACGAAAAAAAACAAAACAAAAGAAAATATGTAATATAAAAATTTATTTAAAACAAACGAAACACAAAAACTAGTAGAAGTTAAGTATAGAATAGTATAAAAATATTAAATAGTAATATTATAATAGGAATTTATAATTAAATATTTTTCGAAATTTTCTATTAAAAATTTTTGTCTTCTGTCTGTAAAAATATGTTTTGATATAGAAAAGGTCCTTTCAACATCTACCGAAGTAATAGGACAATACCGTAATTTTGGAAGTAATGTACAGGGCCAACGTAAAACTTCTTTGGAAAATTTTCCCTCAAAAATGTTTTTCACTTCCCTTATTTCATTGAACCCTTCATTCTTTAATAAAGTTGTATTTAATTTTTTTCTAATCTTAAGGCCTATGTCACCAGAAACATTGTTACATTTATCGGAAACTGTTGCAATAAAATTTGTTGATTCGATTAAACTTAAATTTTTTTTTTCCAATGAAGTTATTACATCAGGTAAAAAACTAAAATTAACCTTTATAAACACAAGTTGCTTAGGCACAAGGGGATTTTTTAACAATTCTTTACTTTGCACTACACATTGTGAATTGTCTTCTATATCCAAAATTAAATCCTTAATTGCTTCAAAATTTTCTGCATAGAATATAGCTGCTTTAATCCATGTACCCCATCGCGTAATTACGGGTTCCGGGGGCAAACACACCCCTACCATTCTCTCTTTATACAACTGCACTCTTAAAGGGGCTTTTAAAAATATTTTTTTCACATTCGAAATTAGCTTGTTAACCAAGGGATATTCTGTTCTCACAGTTTCTGCAACTAAGTTTATTCCATGCAGAAGACAAGTAACGTGGACCATATTTGGATAAAATATTTTTAAGTTTTGCCCTACTTTTATCATATATGGTGCCGCGTCAGACAAAAACACTAAGAACTTCTCTGAGGGAATTTGATTTGGTAAAAAAAAATCTGCTAGAGATTGTTGAATAAATCGGGGTAACAGTTGTATTGTTAGTTTTTTCTAACTGTTTTGATGCAATTAAATATGATGTACCTGGTTCATTTTCTTTTAAGGCTCCAATCATAAGATGTACCATATATCTTCCACAAGCATCTGTGCTTTCATCAACAATGATGTAAAAATTGCTATCATCCAGTAAAACTTTAATTTCTTCTATTACATTTATATATATAGCATGTACATTTTCTGAGTGTAGATTCGTCAGGAATGGTTTGATTGCAATATTTTTGTAAAAATTCTCTTAGATGTAGGTTTTGTAACTTCTTTAATGGAATATTTGCCGCAACAAGAGCTTTGCACAAGTCCTGATTAAATACCTCCTTGTCACTTTTTGTTTTGTCGGCGTTTTGAAATGACCTCATAACTCTGGAAAGTTAATAAGCCACGAAGAAATTCTCGACATTTTAGGACACTTTTAAAACAACAAATTATTACAAGACTTTTCACTAGGCAAATAACGAGGATACTATCTCATTAAACTGAATGAAAAACATTCAAAATATTCCGATGTTAGGGTAGATTGGTTACAAGAAATTACTGAGAATTTTATATAAACAGTTTTATTGCATTGTAGGTAATACTTTATCTGTGTAAATACCATCTATTAACAATTACCTTAATGGGCTTAATCTCTTAAGAAGGTAAAAACCCAGTGCATGCCACCCTCCAAGAACTAATTAACAAGAATTTACAAGAAGTGACACTTAAAAACAAATACAAAAATTTAAAAGGTCTTTATTTCAAATATATCTGTATAATCTGTTAAAACAGTTTTTGATTTGCACAGTATAGTAATACATTTTTTTTTCGAAAATATGCAATATTTTCTTAAATTTTCTGAACTTTGGTAAAATATGCAATATTTTCTGAATTTTGGAAAAATATGCAATATTTTCTGAGCTTTGGTAAAATATGCAAAAAATGCATATATATGCATTTTGCATATATTCCGCTCTCTACTTATATGGATAAGGTGGCAACTTTCCAAAATCCAAAAACGCGACAGAAGTTGCAACCAACAAAGGCATTATTACTTATCACGATATTTTTTATTTTATATAATGTTGAAATATCTTTATAAGGGTGCATACATACACTGCTGCTCAAAAGTCCCATTCTCTCATTTCTTTTGAACGGTGATACTTAGACTGATTAAATTTGGAGAGTGACCATTAACTATTGCAAGTTTCTCTACTAGTGGTAACAGGTGACGTAATAGTCATCGATGACGTCACAAGACAATAACCCCCCAAGAATTTTTAAACCTTACTTTTATACAGGGTGGGCCATTAGTGCGTAGGTGGAAGATTGCGGGTTTATAAGGGTACATTTTTCAAATTAATTTTTAACGCATGATGCTACAACCTAAAAATATTTTCGATGAAATTCCAAATGTTCTACAGGGTGATTTATATCAATGTTATGTTTTTTTAATAGTATATTATTTCATATTTCGATTCCTCGGTCAATTTTAGTGTGACTTTATGTATCACACATGGTATCTAAAATGAGTCGATAAGCAGCAATTCATTATTTTTTCAAAAAGGATATGAAAAATTGAATATCGCAGTTATTATAAAACTTAGAAACCATGAAATGTACATTTGCCAGTCAAACCCTTTTCGTGTTTAAAGTAATCGCTACGCCAATTTGCAAAATTTTAATCCAAGGTATCTTGTTTATTTTAAATGGGAATACCAAATTTTTTCATTTCATTACATATAGAATTCGATTACCTTTCTAATGATATAAAAATATGTTGATATTTATCTTTTACAGATTTCTTTTTATTTAAAAAATTCTATTAATTCACAGAATTTTTCAATTTCTCTAATCTCTTTGAAATTAGTGGACCATTAAAAATTGCAAATAGCAATTTCAATTAAAAAACATTTAATAAGTAAAAAAAAACAAAAAAAAAATAAATAACACCACAATCAAAATAAAAAAACAATTGTTTTATTAAATGTATAAAATGTCTATCACCCTGTTCTAAACAAACTTGGATTCTTCGACGAAAAGAAATTTTAACCATATCCAATATTTCTGGGTTAATTTCTTCAAAAGCGTTTCTAATCCTGTTTTTCATGTTTTCAGATGTGGTTGGTTGTTCTGCATATACTTTTTCTTTGATATAACCCCATACAAAAAGTCTATTGGCGTAATATCTGGAGATCTAGATGGCCATCGCAATGGTCCATCCCTTTCAATCCACCTTCCATTAAATGTATTGTTGAGTCATGCACTTACAACACGGGCACGATGTGGAGGTGCTCCATCTTGTTGAAAGTACATATCTCTAATTTGAGCAAGTGGTACATCTTTAAGGAGACCAAAGAAATGGTTATCTAAAAAATTTAAATACGTTTCTGGATTTAAAACACCATCAAAAAAGAAAGGACCAATAACATAAGTGTCTATCAGGCCTGCCCAAACATTAACCGACCATTTCTCCTGACTATTGACTCTGAAATAGTGAGGGTTTTCATCTGAATAATAATGAAAATTGTGTCGATTAATATAACCATTTCGGTGAAAGGTCCACTCATCCATAACAATTTTTTTTTTTTTAATATTAATTTTCATTTAATTTTTCTTCTGCCCAATTGCAAAATTTTATCCGGTGTTGATAATCTGTTTCTTTGAGCTCTTGGTGAAGTTGAATATGATAAGGATGGAATTTATTTTCATTTATTATTCTTCTGATAGAGATTCGGCTTGTTTGAAAATTTCTTTCAAGTTGGCGAGTACTAGTATAAGGGTTTTCTACCACTGCATTTAAAATATTAGTTTCATTTTCTTCATTTTCAACAAATTTAGTTTTCTTGTTTTTGGATATAAGAAACATTTCTTGTTGCAATAAACCCACGGGGGTCGGATTCCATGTAAATAGTTGGTAACAAGTTTGCTTGACCTCGACAGTAGCGCGCTAAGCGCTTACGGTTGAACTACACCTGTCAGTTTCAGTCGATAAAGTAGAACACTACTAATTAAAGCGATTTAAAAATTGGCGGGCTTGAT